CTGGTTTGTTTCTTGAACTACAACTTCCTTCAAGGGTGGAACTTTACTGTCCTCTTTAATCTCCTCCAATATTTCATTATCGGGTCCTAACTTGTACTTAGGAAATTTTTCCGTCTGAAAACTCACGTCTGCCGACACTGGCCAAACAGCTTGCACCTCATCTCTGAATTCCGGACTGACCCTCGTCATTAGCCCGAGTTTTTCTACAACTTCACTCAAATGAAAGAGAATGAAATGACTCACAATGGAAGTTAGCTCCAGAATAAGAACATGATAGCGAGATAAAAATTTATGTAGATAACAATTAACTAACAAAAATCACAAATTTTCTATTAAATTGCAGAACATGAAAAGAATTCGGTTACTACTAAAAGATAGAGCAGATCACAATGACCCTTTTTCCTTTTATCTTCCTTTTTTTTTCAGTTGAATGTTTATGAATTATGACACCAATACCAGTTAAGGTGTACAAGGCTCAATCTTAGCAACAATAGGAAAAATAAAGACTTTAGATTAAATAAAACTAAATCAGAATAATCAGCTGAGTATAAATGGCCAAACCAAGTGTTTTCACTTACCAGAATTGAATTTCAACTTCTGCACCCCAATCTTGCTCTCAATTTACAAATGCACTTTCAGCTGTCCACTGTCAAAAACAAAACAAAACAAAAATAAAAAATAAAAAACATAATCAGTAAATATAAAGCAAAATAACTTGCCATTTGCCAAGACAAACATCAATAATCACACTATCTTATCATTTTTCCAGAGAATTAACATAAAGATTTCTTCAGGTGCAGTCCAATTTACTTTTTTTTTTTCCCCTAATAACTTAGCAGATAGCCATAATCACCTCCCATCTTTGAAGTACCCAAAAAATAACAAAATTTAATGGAGAAAACAAAAAGGGGAGGCTAAAAATTTAATCTTGGGAAACACCCAAGCACAAAAATAAATAAATAAATAAATAAATAAATAAATAATCGAAAGCATTGAGCTTGAAGAAAAGTGCCACTTACAAGACATTAAATTTACACAAAAAGGGAGCACCTATTCAGATTCCTTCACCATTTCATTCATCAAGAATCAATTTTTTTGAAGAACCCAACAAAAGAAAAAACACTATGACCATGAGAAGCATAAGAAAGAAGAGAGATCCATACCATTAACTCAAAGAAAATGCCTATGATGCAAAAAAATCAGATAGGAATGTGAGATGTCTGTCAAGCTTTCTCAAAAGCAAAAGAACAAAAAACAGAGAGAAAAAAGCTTCCTTATTGCCCGCCACAACATTTAACTGACAAACACCATTGTTGTTTTCTTATTATTGTGCTCTTCTTTTTTCCAGCTTCCCCCTTTGGGTTTGGACTTTATGTCTCTTATTTTTTAAACAATTTTTACTTTTTTTTTTCTTTTTTTTTTTACCATTTTTTTTAGGGAAATATTACGGTCCCGTTACGGAATCATTCCGTTGGGGTTTGTTACCGTATATCAACTATCTTCGACGATTACATGATGATCTAACGGTTACAAACCCCGACGGAATAGTTCTATAACAGAACAGTAGGATCTTCCATTATTTTAACACATACTCTCTTGTCATAATTTTGTTATAAAACCACTATAGACCAATATTGTTGAATTTGATGATCACCAATGCAATTCATACACAATTAAATTTTACTATATGTTGCATGTATGATTGTAGAATAAAGTAATTATAAAGATGTTCTCAAATTTTACATAGTTTGATAAATCTAGCACTTTCACCTTTTTCTAATAAATATGATAAATAAAAAGATCTTATTGCATAACCATATAGTTGTTATTCGAACCAACTTGTTTGAGAATACATCTATGTTCGACTAGCGAAAGTTCGAGCTAGAACTTCTTCACTTACTTAAATGATCTGAGTTCGAGCGACTAATCAAGATCATTAATCAAAGAAACTGGACTCGTTCTTTACCAGGTTGTTTAGCTTACAATTTAGTCATTAATTTCGAACGAATTGAACGTGTTCAAAAACAGACAAATAGTGTTCGCAAATAGCTTGTTTACGATTTTGGAGTTGTGCAAATCGTGTCATTGGCTCGTTTAAATGGAATTGTGTCATTGGCTCGTTTAAATGGAATTGTGTCATTGGCTCGTTTATTAAATGTGTGCGAGGTGGAAGGACAAGTGTTCCATTTGATTCGAATAACACAATATGTAACTACAACAAGAAAACAAATGATAATGCATTAGTTTCAGTAATATATGGAAATTTAATTGTCACACACATATTTATATATCTGTTTTCTCACCGAACCATCGAATAACACGACTTAGTAAGTCAATAATTATTATTAGAAAATGAAGTACTAACACGTACTTTAAAATAAATACAATTATAACAAATGTTAATACATTAATTAAATAGTAGCTGAGTAAGAGTTTATGGTAATTTCTTTTCATCCATCCATCAAACCCATTGGCCTAAGCAATGGAAATCCCCCCTATATATTAATCCAGAACGCACTGAGCCTACGTGGATGCTTCTGGTGCTTCGAAATCATATGTGGCAAAATTACATGCTTCGTTATTAGGCTTGGGTAAATTTTATTTTAATTCCAAACAAAAAATAACTAGGTTCGGATTACCATATATATGTTGATTATTTATGGTCATGTTACATGTATTAATTGCATTTTAATATCATTTCTTATTATAACTATTGAATTGTATATATATTTTAAAAGTTAATAACTTTTGTATTTTTTATCAGTTTTACATATGTAATATATCAAATTAATCTTTTTTTTATGAGCTTCGATTTAACATCCATATTGTATGTATAAAAAAATAATTTATATTTATCTTTATAACAATAATAAAATTATTTTTAATATTAATTAGAAAAATAAAATTATCAACTAATATATGTATAAAAACTAATATAATATAATACATCTGTATCTATATAAAAAGAATTACCATTTTTTAAAAATGGCGAGTCAAATTGTGGCCAAACATGGTTGAACATTAATTGCATGCTATAAAAATGACAAGTTTTTATTTTATTTTTTTATATACAAACGTGCATCATTAATTATTGCGTTTAAATGTAGAGTTTAAGTGGAGTTTGTTATTTATTTTTGCGCAAGATTAGGCTGTTCCTTTTTAATTTTCACAAATTAAAAAAAAAAAAAAACTTTCTTTAACATATAATCGTGTACCACATTGCTAATTTTATTTTATTACAAAAATAAATTACACCTAATTTCATAATATAAACTTACGTTAGTATTTACAAAAAATCAAAAACTTTTTTAACATCAACTCGACTACTACAATTGTTCTAATCGGATGCTTTTATTTTTTTTAAAAAATAAATTACAATTTATTTATTTGGTAGATTTGGTTCATTCATTTAAACCCCTAAAAGATAAATTGGTGGATAAGGTTCCATTAAGTTCTAAAAATTTTGATCATTGAATATAATTTGAAATTAAAAATCCTTTCTCATATTTGATTTAAAAGACTCAATTGTGTTTTTTTATTCCAAACAATCAGATTGTTAAAAAATAAAAAAAAAATAAAAAATAAAAAAACTTGAATTGAAAATTTAAAATTCAAAATCCCTTCTCATTTTAGTTGCCATAAATTTGTGCTTAATTCAAAATCTCTTCCTAATATAAAAGATTTTGTTCAAATTGAATTAAAAAATATCTAATCACATGCTTCTATCCATGGATGACTAACATTAAATAAAGAATTTTGCGCCACTTTAAAATTAACAAACGTCTTGAAAATTATAAAATTATAATGAATTTCATTTTTTTAGGTTTCAATTTGCACGAAATTCAAAATGGTTTAAGAATTTCAAATCAATCGAAATTCATCTCTTTAATTTTTTTCCATAAGTTCAAAATTTTAAAATAATTAAGTCAAATTACAAATGTATTGTTTCAAAAATCAAGATGATATAATTTTAAAAATAGACAGTTTTTTTTTCAAAATTGTCTTACTCTCCATTCAATATAAAATAAATTCCATTTTATTTGTAAAATGGATAAATCTGCATAAAACATAGAATTTTATGCGTACAAAATTTCTTTTTACAATAACTAGAAAATAATAATAATTTTGAAATCTTTTGTACTCAAATTATTTAAAAGAATAATAATAATAATTTTAAAATCTTTTGTGCTCAAATTACTCAAAGGAATAATAATAATAATAATTTTGAAATCTTCTATACTCAAATTTTCAGGTACGGTAGTATTGTCATAATTTTCAGCATAATGACAATATTTATTTTATATATACTAGGTAAATTTTATTTCAAAACTTTAAAATGTATTTATTTAGGCTTATAACATTTTAGATACTTTTATATAATATTTTATCATGTTATATTCAAAAAACATCTTTCGTACGAATGTAAACTTGAATATTTTTAGATATATATCTTTACAAAAAAAATTAAAAAAGCTTTAGGTGACTTCACATATTTTAATAATAATATAGAAAAGTTTAGATAATTTTACATATGCTAATATAATATTTTAGGAGTTTTTAATGTTTAAACATACAAATTTTATGTTTTCTTGAACAAGTTAATTTTATATCGTTTATAATAAATTGATATACCGTAAATTATATGATATCTTAACCCCACATTGTTAATTTCTAATTATTATTTAATATCATTTACCATCATCTTTAATTTAAAATATTTTTCTTGCTCTTTTAAGAAAATATCAATAGTGGTTCTTCACTTCTTTCATTGGGTGACTCGAACTCGATATTTATTTATAATTATTATTTAATATTGTTTACCCGTTCATCGCACGGGATACGCACTAGTGTAAGTCATAAACAACACATATATCATTCTAAAATATATAATAATTTTTATTTTTTTGTAAAAAAGTAAATTAAATTTAATATATTTTTCTCATTAATTTTAAAATTTAAGAATAATTTTTTAACAAGCACCCGTGTAATACACGAGTGTTGTACACTTGAACTAGTAAAAATACATTAAAGACTATAAAACTAACCTATCCACTGCTAAAGGGTAATATTGTCATCTTCACTGTCGTTGGAGTGCCAAAGTTATTTTTACATACACAATTCACAAGCATGCCTCCCACGCGCGGGCCCCACTCGCTTTCATTGTACTGTACGTTGAAGCCTTCAGGCCCATTTACAGCTTGCAGAAGCGTTGGATGGATGGCGCGTGAGATGCCGCGCGTGGTAGAAGCGCGAGCTATTTTTGGCGGGCCGCATGTTGCGGTTCAGCATCCGGTTTGTCTAGGAGTTAGCCAAGGTTATTCACAAGATTGCCACTCGAGCCAAAAGTCTAATGCTGGGTCGTTTTGTCCTTTGGTGGCCTTACAAACGACCAATAGGTTTAAATTTAATTGGTCGGATTTGGCTCGAGTTAATTAATTAAGCTGACTTATTTGTTAAATGAGTCGAGCTCAATATCCATAATAAAAGCTCGTTTCGTCAATGATCTGTGCTCAACTCGGCTTGATAAAATTTGAAAAGAAAAGTTTATATATTTTTTTTATAGTCTGACTCGTTAAAACTCGAGATTGACTCGTAATGGATGCTCATTAATATCGATAAATGAGTCAAGTATTGTGCTTATTGGTTTTATAAACATGTTAGTTTTCATAAAAGTATGCATATTTTAATTAAATATTTATGTGTACAGCTAACGATAAAGCATGCTATAAAAACAGTGCAAAAAAGCATTATTAGGAGTTATAATTGCTTTATGACGGTAGTATTAAAAGTTTTTCTAAGCCAAAACTTTATTATGAAGCTCATTTTGAGACAACCAACTTTTCATGACTTTGGGTTCCATCATTGAATGATTAATCTTAAGCCAAGATTTCTTTTATTATTAGTGTAGTTTAATAAAATACATTTATGCTATAGGTCCAATTATATTCTTCTATTTAGTCCTCTAATTTTAATATATTCGTTCGATGTATTATATATATACGCAACAATATTATAATTTAAATCAAATATAAATAAAAACATGACATTTTATAGTATAACTACCTAGTTTTCTATCAACAAATATGGTTGTCTAGCTGTTTGACATTTTTACATACATTGTATAATTATGAATTAAAAGGAAAAGTTGGGCAATTAGTTGATAATAACTTATCAGCCAAGCTGGATTCATGGAATTATTTTATGAGGGATTAAGACTATGTTTGGTAAAATTAGCTGATAAGCTAGCTGATAGCTGATAAGCTAGCTTATAGCTTATATGTAATTTTTGAGCTTATAGCTTATGACTTATAGTTGAAAAGCTAGCTTATATGATAAAAGGTGTTTGGTAAATTAGCTGATAAGCTAGCTGAAATAAAAAAATTCAACTAGCTTATTTGAAAAGCTACCTAAAGTAACTTATAAAATAAGCTCGAGCTTTTTAAAAAAGCTCGTCCTACCAAACGAGGCTTATTTTAAACAGGGAGCTTATAAACTAACCAAATAAGCTAAAATCTAACTTATTTGGCTTACCAAACATATCCTAAAAAGAATTAGAAGGGTTGGTGGGTCTAATGATGCATTTTGTCCTAATGATGGTTTAATTGAAATTTTTTGGGTTAAATCACCAAATATATAGTATATAGTTACAACTAATTTAGGCATATATAGTTTACACAAAATTTGGCAGTGGGGTGCACTTAATTGGTGGCATACCAAATATTTTGTAGCTTTTAATGATTAGTAGTAATTAGTGTAGTTAAGAGCTTTGCAATTGGATTTTGATGGATGTGACTTAGGAATCTTGGTAGGTGTTGAGTTTAGTTTTTACGGTTTTGTTATGGAGTCATCGGATAACCCGACTTATGGAGTCATCCATCGTTATTCACAAATGACGTATTGACACGGGTCATGCAATAAATGCACATTGAACATGTGTCAGTACATAAAATTATAGATGACTTCATAAGGAAGTCATCCGGTGACTCCACATAATTTCTGTTAGTTTTTATTTTAAAATAGTTTTAATTAGTTGTGATAGCGATATTAATGTAGCATTAATTATTATATACTCCCTCTTATTTTTTTAAAATGTCATTTTAGCTTTATCAACTATTTGTCAAATAAATGTCGTTTTGGATCTTTTGTACATATTTTTTCATTATTACCCTCATTTAATTGGTTGTCCACATGGTCAGCTAGTTGAATTGTGCCAAAATGATCACGAATATCATTATATGTTTATATTACATATATACGGACATTAATTACTTGTATTTTACCTAAATGACCAGATTTGCAACCATAGTGCCAGTTGGTAATGACAAATTGGTCATAATTTCTAAATTAATATTATTGCCGACTTGCTACGACTTTAAGAAAATGCACCAACTTTTATTATTAATAAAATCCCCCATTAATTGATGATACTAATTTACTAATTTCCCCCTTTGAAATAAACAAGTCCTTGGCTAATGATTTTTTTTTTTGGCACTTAAATCAAAACTAAAAAAAGAGGACATTAGTCTGGTACATCCGATAAAAAGGAAGATAACCAAATAGGGATGGAATCACTCCAGACACACGAAGAATGCGAAGAGATCGCCCACCTTGCTATGTTGTAAGCTACTCCATTTTGATCCCTAGGTAGATGTTCACACCGACCACAATCTAATAAAGACAAAAGTCCTAAAATGTCATCGAACACTCCAAACAGAGGGTCAAGCTCATGATAGAGGGAGATACCACTGACAACTCTCATTGAGTCCGATAAGACCAACTGGATATTTAAGCCCAAACCCGTCGCGACGAGCAACCCAAACCGAAGGGCTAATTTGGACTTATTTGGGGGGCCGCTTTAGGATTATTCCGAAATATACAGTCCGAATTTTAGAAATGAACACAGCACATGGGTAGGGTCCAACCGAGAAGGCTATGTATCTCTTTTGGCCACTTCAATTTAATATTGAGTTCTCTTGCCAATTCGGCTTTAATGTTTGTTATTGGATAGAGTTAGGAATTGTAAACGAGCTGAGCTCAGTTCGATCTCGAACCGTGATCTCAAATGTCTCGTCTTTTTAACAAACACATTTCTTTTTTTTGTTTGTTTGATCTAGCTAGTTATGATGTGAGGTAAAAATTATCTACTTTTGGGTTCGTGAATTGAATATATTCATTTCAAAATTGGTTAAGTTGTCAAATTTTGTTG